CGTGGTCGGTGGCTGGGGCGCGTTCGTGCGTGCGCGAGCGAGAGTCTGTGCGCCCCCGGCCAGGCGGGGTCGGAAGCAGGGTGGCGGGGCGCGCGCGGGCTCCCTTTCATGGCCGCAGAGGGGGTCCGCGTGTGGATGGCGTGGCATCCCTCGCCCCGGAGACGTTTCCTGAACGCCTAACGCTGGGAGCCCAGGCGACCTACCAGGCCACCAGCCAGCGGAGTGTGGGGGGCCGCTCAGAGGAGGCGAAATTGGAGTGGAGACCTAGGAGTCGGCCTGGCGGAGAGGGGGGGACGTTTTCCGAGAGGGAACTGCATGTGCAAAGGCCCAGGGGCTGAAGGAGGCCCAGAGCTTGGCGAGTCTGAGGCACTTCCCGGCTCCCGAGGAACTGGATCCGCACCCAGCAGCCCCGCCTTTGCTGGCATCAGACCTGCTGCTCCCGGCCAGTCAACGCAGCGGGGCCGCCAGGCCCCTTGATTGCGTCAGGGACCAGCCCAGGACCTCCATGGGTGCAGTCAGAGCCTGTCCCAGGCCCTTGACCTGGAAGATTGGGAAGGAGGCGCCTTTTGGGTTTGGGGTCGCTGAGACTTGCTGATGGAGCGTGTGCCTGCCTGGTGTCTGGCCCTGGTTTTGAGCTCCCTGCTCACTGTCCCACTACTGCACCCTGATGAGGCAGCACCCAGGCCTCCTCTGGGTCCTTCCTCTCCTGAGTGTCTGGCACGCACAGTGGAAGGATTGTTTGTCTTGTGTAGTGTGCACACCATGTCCACCCCAGCTCTCAGAGTGGAACATAAAAGCCGGGTGTGGCCCTGTAGCCTGACCTTGGAAGAACAGCTCATAGGCATAACCCCTGCACCCCCAACCCTGAGCTCTGCCACAACCCAGATGGGGCCAGCAACACAGAGCCACCGGGCCCGTCAACTCTCAGACCTGGCCACCTCCACAGGCACTTGGCAATTCCACAGACCCGTGAGAGCCTTGACCTCTTGGAAACAGGAATTAGCCAAGAAAACAGATTAATGAAAAAATAATAAGGTTCTGTTCCCTGTTGAAATGTCTGTCACTGTATAAACTGTGACTACCTTAACTGCAAAGTATGCCCAGCTGCCTGGCCGACCCCTCCCAGTATTACTGCCTTTGTTTCTATGGCTACCGGATGCATACACTTACCTGCTTGTCTGTTTATTGTCTTCCACCGGGAGTTAAGGTTTTGCCCCTGCTGTATCCCCAACACCTAGCACAGCGCCCAGCATTAGTCGGTGTTTGGTAGTATTTGCCAGATGGCCATGTGGATGGATGAACCATGAGGGTCTGTGCTGCACACTTATTATGCGTGGGGCTTTTAGCCCTCCTGATGGCCCTGCGAAGTTGCTGGTAGCTGTCTCCATCTTTCAGACGAAGCGTTTGAGCTTCAGAGGTGAAGTGATTTGATCAAGGTCACATGGTACTGACTGTCCCCAAGAACCTTAGTTTCCTTAAGATGTCGGAACAGTCAAAGGATGAATCCTGCTGGGCAGTGGCCCGCGTCCCCTCCATTGGCGTCTCGATGATGGTTTAACCAGAGAAGGGGACCTCCTGGCAGGTTGGGGTTCGAGCCCAGTCCCGCTCAGCCTCAAGCCTGGGACGTGGTGGTGGCAGGGCAGGGCCAGCAGTGGGCCAAGCAGACTCGCCTGCGGCTGAGGCCTCATTTCACTTGTATATAAATAAATCCCTGCCTCAAACTCTGCTTCTAGGGGGACCGACCTGCAATTGTGACAAAAGAGCCAAGAAGCCAAGTGCCAAGGGCAGGAACACGCGATCGCAGTTGGTAAGAGCCGAATCTCCCAGCAACGGGCTGGTGAGGGGGCTCATGGGAGTTGTGGTGTGTAAGTGGATTGGCGTCACAAACTCAGGCATGAAAAGAAATGGAGGCGACCTGCTCAGGATCAGGCTGCTGTCCTCACAAGTCCGGGAGGCAGGTTAAGGAATGGATTCCCGGCCACCCTTGGCCGCTGCAGTTGTGGCCACTGAGAACATCGTATTGACCGGGGTTCTGACCCTTGCCCCCAGATCGGTAAAAGAGAAGCAGGATTAGTGAGCAGTAGTCGGTCTCAGGTCTCAACGCAGGAGTGAGGGCCAACTGTCGCCTCCCCGGAGCCATCTCCTGTGGAGCGGGGAGGTGTCTGTGAAAATTCTAGAGCAGCGCTTCCTGGCCCCAGGGTCTCAGACAAAAAACATTCGGCTTCCTCTGTGTCTCAGCCTATGGCTGCTGCAAGGAATCACCACCAACCTGGTAGCTTAAAACAACACGCACGTGTTCTCTGCAAGTTCTGGAGCCAGAAGTCCAGAATCGGTCACACGGGGCTCAGTCAAGAAGCCCACAGGGCGGGGGCCTCTGGGTTCTCTGAGAGGAGAATTTGTGTCCCCGCCTCTTCCAGGTCCTCGTGGCCGCCTGTGTCTCTTAGCTCCTCCATCCCCAGAGTTCATCACTCTAATCTCGTCTCGAATCGCCTTCTCCTTTCCGCCTCCCCTCTTATAAGGACACTGTGATTACATTCAGGGGCCACCTGGCTGATCCGGCGTACTCTCCCCATCGCGAGGTCCCTAACTTCATCACATCCACAAAGTCTGTTTTGCCTGTAAAGGAACATTCGCAGGGATTGGGGCGTTAGTCAGCCTGCCACTCCCAGCTCACTCCTACGTGCCTGTCCCCTCACGGTGTCGTCGTGAATATAAGGCTCAACACTTGAGTGGTAGGCCCGCCTTCTTCCCCACGGTTCAAACTGCATCTTTCAATCCCAGCCTCAGCGCTGGGCAGTAAAGAATTTGCCTTTGCCCAAAGACAGCTCTAGACTTTGTCCTTGACTTCTGAGTAATGTTATACCTGATAGGAATCTTTGTTTAGGGCGGAGACTGGCCACATCAGATCTTGAGATGAGGACTGGCCATACCCGACAGACCAACCATGCGATTCAGGGCGGAGGCTTTGGGTCCTGCTGTCAGTTGACCTGGAGTCTGAGGTCCGCCCCTGGGCCATCGGTCGAGCCATCAACCATGCCCACATAATGAAGCTCCAGTGAAAATGAGTGAAACGAAACGACAAGACAAAACTGGACTCCAAAGCGTGCGTAGGCATTCCCTGATCGGCGGGACTCTGTGCGTATTGTCACAAGTCAGTGCCACGGGGGTAATATACACACTGAGCATGCGACGCGTTCGAAACTCTTCCAGACTCTGCCCTATGGACCGATTCCTTTGGCTGATTAACCTGTATCCTTTCCCTGTGATAAACTATGACCATGAACATATTTAGCTTGTAGCGATTTCTGTGAGTCCTAGCAGATGATCAAACCCGGGGGTGGTCTGGGGACAGGGCTGCTCCTCTAACTTTTTAGTTGGCCTAAACCTCTTGTATTTGGTGCAGAAGCGAGGGAAGTCCTGCGGAGGAACTATTCTGCTAACTTTTGCAGTTTGGTTAACTTGAGACTAGCACCTACTGTTCTGTGACCTTGGACAACCAATTCTCTGGGCTTCAGTGCCTCAGTTCTGAAGTGGGGATTCCTTTTAGGGTCATCGTGAGGATTAAATTAGCTAAGGTAAGCAGGTGCTCAGAAGAGAGCCTGGTGCATACAGAATAAGCACTAGATCGTGCCTCCTTAATGGGGATAATTTCCCCGAGGGCAAAATGGCTCTCGGAGGCAGAAAATCATATTATTCTTACGCGTAAAGCACAGATATACGTATAGTACATAAACAGGTATACAGTCTAACTGTGGTAGTAAAATTCCATGGCGAGGGCTGGGAGACGTTTAGAAAAAAGTCAAAAACGTCCTTTGGGGGCAATAATGGAATAAAAGTTGAGAAACTGTCCTCGGTGGACGCTAACTACAGCGATAATGGTGCAGCCCCAAACTGCTCCAGTGGCTGAGACGTGGAAATAGGCTCTTATAGTCACACGGACAGAGTCCCAGTCTGATGGCTGGTCAGTCCAGATTGCTTTTCCAGAGCCCCTATCCCGCCCCTCCTCCTTGGCAGGCCATCGGGGCGGCGATCTGGGGGGGCTGTTCTTGGTGGAGGATGTGTAAAAACCACATGCAGTGTAGGTCCGCCTCGGAACGACTGATTTTCCCATAATTGGGAGCTGAGAGCAAGCGTTGCATCTACTACAATGTGGGTTAGGAAGAGAAAACCCCATCGGGACCTCATACAGCTCCCGGCCAGCAGCGGGAACCGGTATAACCGGAGACAATGAACTTGCCGTGAACTCGATGTAATTCCCCTTTCTTGAGTAAAGGGGAATGAAGGACACTTGTGCTTCTTTGAGGTGGGGGCAGAGCACTGTACCATCTGGACTGTCCAGGTAGAGATGACGATAGACTGGCCACCTCCCCCCCGCCCCCCTCCCGGGAACCCAGGACACGAACGCGGGTAAGCGAAGGTGAAGGGCGGGTGGCTCTCTGCCAACCCCTCGACCAGCCCTTTGAACAGAGGGGGTGACAAATCAGCCCAGAAGTGGCAGAGCCGGGAGTGAAACCTACGTTCTCTGAACTTAGCATCGTGACCCCGTGAGTTTCCAGGGACTGAGACAGGTTCCAGCAGGAAGAGGTGAGCATTGGCTGCCCAAAGGGAAAAGTCCCGGAGCAGAGGCTCGGCATGGCGGGACCATGTGATCAGGACGCCCCTCTTACTCCACTTCCTCCGGGGTGCGGAGCGGGGGGCTTCGTTCCTCAGGAAAGCTCCTCCCTCACGGCGGCCCCTGAACACCCCACGCCTAGAATCCTCACTGCCCAATAACTTCGGCAGTTACTAAAAGCGGGTTTTCATCTCTTTCTCTCCAGTGGTTTCTGAGAAAAGCTCTGGACTGAGTCTTGTTTGGGCAGCTCGGAGCCCATGGCTAACGCGTGCGTGCTCTGCTCATGGGGGACGGAGAGATGAGGGCTCTGACTGGCCGGCCCCGGGTCACGGCCCTGCCCCCGAAACTGTGGGTCAGGACGGTGGGACGTTTGGACTGACTGGGGTGGGTGACAATCAACGTGCTCTTCCCAAAATGAGGACGAAAGGGCAAAATATAGATGCCCAGATGTGTCCTCTCTATCATCCAAGTAAAAACAGACAGGCCCCCTTCCCCTCGACATTCTACCCCTCACCCCGCTTTTACCATGCACTCACCATGCTTTGACATTACAGCACGAACATAGTTCCCCTGAGAAGGCACGGCCTTGTCACCGTATCCCCCGTACCCAGAGGACTGCCTACCAGTGAGAGCTGCTGGGTGTTTGTCCAATTAAAGAGTGAATAAATCAGAAGCGCGGAGCCTGCCGCTCTGCCATAGACAATGCCTTGTTCAGCTGTAGGGCATGTGAGGGGGAGGGGAAGAGATCCGAGGCTGGTCTGGTGCCTGCCCACCCCTGGGGGGTGCATTGGATGAGCCCCACCCCCACCCCCACCCCCAGCTGAGGCCAGTAGGACTCACGTGGGCTCCGGCACCTGTCCCCCGGGGCTGGTGAAAGGCCTGACCGCGGCCCCGCCTCCAGAGTTTCCCTTCCACGAAGTCCTGGTCAGCCCATAAGTTTGCATTTGGAACAAGTCCCCAGGTGCCACCATGCGTCAGAAAGCACATGTGAGAATGGAGCTTTCCTACTGGCCAGGACAGCGTGTTTTAAGAGTGTGCAGAGTTGGCGGGCAGCTGCTGAGGCCCGGGGTGTCCAGAGGAGGGTCAGCCCAGGCCGACTTGCGAAGCTCACTAAACCTGCCCCTGAAGATAAGCCTTGTGCTGCAGGATGTGGTGCAGCTGCCCAGCAGACGCCCGAGGACACGGTCCACGAACTGGCCCTCTGACCACTGCCTCGTGACTCCCTGGAGAGACTGACTCAGGCCGGCTGGCATGCCAGGGCACTCTTTTTGAAAAAAAAGATATGCAGAAAGAGATTTGTCATGAGGGGTGGGCCTCGCCTGGCAGCTGAGCTGGAGGCAGAGGGAGGAGGATTTGCTGGCAGACCTGCCCTCTGCGCTCCAGGCCCTTCATATACGGTTGTTTGGGTCCCCGCCACCCCCCACGAAATGGGTGTAATTGGTCCATCTTACAGGTGAGGATAGCGAGCCTCAGAGAGGTTTGCTAACTCGCCCAGCCAGTAGGGAGCGGCGTCCGGTTCAGACCCCCAGTGCTGACTCCAGATGCCGCCTGCCTCTGCCAACGTGGAGGACAGAAGCCAAGGGCAGGATGGGGACTAGAGGAAGGGACGGCTCCATGGGGACCCAGACACTCTGACATCCAGAGCGGAGGCTCGTGGTGGCGCCCGCGAGGAAGGAGAGTCTGAGGCAGCCGTCACCTGGGGGGCGTCCAGCAGTGCGACGCCCTGGGGGGCCCAGCCCCCCTCCAGGGCTTTGTCTGCGACTCTGCGCCTGCCCGATTTCATGTCAAGACGACAGCACCTTCACCAGGTGCAAACTAAACCCCCCACGTGAACACCGAGGAAGGCCTGGCACGCTTCTAGAAGAACAGGTCCACCCGGCCCCTCTCACCCTGCGTTCAGAAATGTCACCACCCGTGACTGCACGACCCATGGCATTCCCTAGATTTACTCCCTGGAAAACGGGAACCCCAGGGCACACGGCACTGTGGGGCTTAACCGAAACGTGAGCATACGAGAGCTTCATCTCGGAGGGAAGCCCAAGGTCCTCGGCGTCGTCGTCACCATCGCTCATATTTCAAGCGCAAACACACGGCGCACTCGACACGGGACTCTGCGGGGCCGCGGGACGGCACTCTTGCACGCAGGGTGGAAAACGGCGACACGGCTGTCCTCCTGCCCACCGGCGGTCAGAGCTTTCCTTTTCGAAGGCTGCTCCAGAGATAGTGCAGCGGTAGTGAGCTCTTGTGGAGGTGAACGGCGTGCACAGCAGTGTCCGGGGCTGGGTCGCCCGGCTTTGGAAACCCACTGGTGGGGGAGATGGCCGGTTCTCAGAGTGGGTGGTTCTTGAAAGAGCCCTACTTGGGAGCTGTCCCCTGGGGCCATGAAAGGTCTCAGGGCCAGGCTCCCTAAAGACGTGGACGCCCAAAGGTGGGCAGCCCGCCCGCTGACGCGCCCCTCCCGCCACCGCCCCGTCCAGGCCGCGTCCATGGCCGCGAAGACCAAGGCTGGCAGGGGTGTGGCAGGACCTGGCGTGTGTGAGGGGGCCCTCCAGAGGGTGCAGCGTCACGCTCCCCTGTTCTGATGGCCATTTTGCCATTTTTCGCACTGTACCAGAATGAACTGAATTATGACTTACGGTTCACAACTTGGGAAAGTGGTTTCACGTACGAGGTTAAAAAATCACTTATTATGGAATGTGACATACTCACCGAAGAGC